AAGGATCTAACAATGCCTAGAGGGGGGGGTGAATAGGCGTATCTAAAAATTTACTGCAAAGGCTAAGTTCAATTCTGTCAGTCACTGTCGGAAGTCCCGACGTTTGGGTCGGAACTCCCGACGTTGTCGAGAAGTTCCGGCAAAACGTCGCCAGCCCGACGCCTCGTGAACTACAAAAGCAAAGGCCAAATTTAACTTTGCGGATAAATGAACTTACAACCTTTCTTCCTAGTGGTTTGGTGAAGATGTTGGGTCACTCTCTTGACGCCGTAATGCCTCCAAACCATAGATCGAGTCCAAACCCTAAAATGGAAATTTGGGAGAGAGAGAGACAAACACATACAAGTAATATCTAGCAATCACAACAACAAGCACACGGGACACAAAGATTTATCCCGAGGTTCGGAACCCCACTAAGGAGCTCCTACGTCCTCGTTGTTGAGGTGACCACAAAGGTCGGAGTCTTTTCCACCTCCTTGCCTCTCTCTAAGCGACCACAAAGGTCACTTGAGCTTTCCACTAAGAAATCGAGGGTAATACAAACTTCCAGAGGATCTTCCACAAGATGGAAGCTCTTGGGCGACGCCTAGCCTAACCGGCTAGGGTAAAACCCCAAGAGTAATAGACGCAAAATCAAATCAGCGGCTTGACGAAGAAATCAAGTGCTCAAGCTTTCCAAAGTGATGCTCTCACTTAATCCACTCTCCTTTCAATCAAACCCTAAGGGAATTGAAGATTGGAGCAAAGGGGGAAGGAGAGGGGTGCTTTGGTTGCTTGGGAGCTGTTCAGCACGAAGTGAGTCAACTGTGAAAATGAGTCCGTAACGGTTAGAAGTGAAGAGAGGAGTATTTATACTCCAAGTGAAAATCAACCTGTTCGATCTCACGGAAGTCCCGACGCAGATCCCGGAAGTTCCGACTACAACGAAAACATTGTTCACAACGAGTCAAGTCCACGGGAGAAAGTCGATTGAACTCCCGCAAACGTCGGGACTTCCGACGGTCCGAACTCCCGACGATCGTCGGGACTTCCGACGAAACACGATTAATCAAATAACCAAGATCGCTTTGAGGCGGGACTCCGGCTCGGGTCAGTCGATGTCGGAACTCTGGCGAACGTCGGGACTTCCGATGGATTTGAACTCCCGGCGAACGTCGGGACTTCCGACGCGTGCACAGGCAATGACGATCGCGAAGCACAGTCTGCCGGACTCTCGGCAAAGGTCGGGACTTCCGATCGTCGGGAGTTCCGACTTCGTCGGGACTTCCGACACCGAAAGTCACGAAAAAATATTCTCTCGTGCTCGTGAAGTGCTAGAGTGACACACGATTGATTTTATTTAAATGCTTGAGCACTCTATCTTCCTCGGACCAACTAAACTTGCATCCCTCTTTATAGTGCAGTGCGGATCCTAAACTCAAAGACAAAATTTAAAACCTTTGGAGATCGTTTTGAATTCGTCAGCCTTTACAACTTCAAGAATTGAGGGATACCATTTCATCTTTATCAACTCTTTGAATCTTTCATGGGACTAATAGCTGCAACATATCTCATTAAGATCACATTAGTCCCTAATTTGAATGTCATCAATACACCAAAACCCACATAGGGGCAAATGCACTTTCAATCTCCCCTTTTGGTAATTGATGACAACCAACTTAGGCTTTTATAGAAATGAAAGAATTTAAAGCCTTTTGAACCCCAAAATTTATGGAGAGCTCCCCTTGATGTATGCATGAATTTGAATTTCAATTAGAATCATCTATACATGATTTGCATACACCGAGACGAAAGCTCCCCCTAAATTTTGTAATCCGTGGGTTGCAACAAGTGTGTGGAACAAATAAGTATCGGTGAAAAGAGATGCAATATGACATGTTATTTCACACAACAAGTAAATATGATGGCCAAGATTTCAAAGTAGAAACTTGAAGCAATACATGGCCATACAAAAACATCCATCATGACAAGTAGAGATAAGCACAAGCAAATAAGATAGATTAAAACATTACTTATCCTACAATCATCCATCACACACATATAAATAGATAGTTGTCCATCACACGGTTGCCACCACACGACAAAGTTCATACACGCTAAAAGGTTTTAAAGTTCCCAAACATAAAGCCCAACAAACTTATTACAATAAATCAAAGTTTAACACTCCCCTTTGTCAACAAGTGCCAAAAGGGGTAGGCCGCATGAGAAATCAACTACTCATCGTCGGAGTCATCATCTTCTCCTTGGTCACTTTCCTCACCATCGTCGTCGTCTTCATCATCTTCTTCCTCTTGATATTCCTCATCCTCTTCAGTTGCTTTCCCCTTGCCATGCGGGCGAGAAGAAGCATCATCGTCGTATGCCGCACAAGCCTCATCATATAAAGCCAACGGATCACGAGGAGGCACAAATGGCGGCGGAGGGGAAGACACAATGCCTGCTTGCTGTTCCAACCGATATAGCCTCTCTTGCATGTCGTTCTCACGCCGAGCACTAGCACAACACTTGTCCAAACATGTAAGTCATCGAAACTTGAACTTGTTGGGCTTCTTTCCGGAGGAGGACGAAGAGAGGGGCTCGTCACTAGATGAGCGAGCAAAGGCAGCGGTGGTGGCCCCACCCAGCGAGAGCGAGAACCCGAAGGACCTTTCCCTTTACCTTTGACTGCCTCAGCTTTTTCTTTTAGTTCTCTAGCAGCAACGATGGAGGTCTTGTTGGATATCTTGAGTAGCTTATGCTCAGAGTCCGCAACCGCCCCGGCGTGATCTGGGCCATGTCGGTGGCCGCCATCTGGGTGGCGGCTATCGTCGCCACGAGGAGGAAACGGGGCTGAAGCCAACAATGAATCAGCTGCCACTTTGGCAGCTAAAACGGTGCCGTCACATATATGTATCTACACATACATGTTCCATCTTTTCAAAGTCGACTCCGTTGGCATTTTATTTTTTTACGATTTTTCATCCGTTTTTTGTCACGTTTGAACAAATAAATAAATAACTATATTTATATCCATTTCTCTACTTTAATCTTAACTATGTATACCTATACCTATCTCTTCTACACACACATATATATACATATATAATATTAAAGAGGATTTTTTTGTTCCAACCTGTTTTTTCATCCTACTTTTTTTTTATTCATAAACTGGTCTTGCGCCCACCGTATCTCGAACGCGACTCAGACTCATAACTCGTGCTCATACGATTTATGATAACTAGATTCCAAGACGTATTGGGTCACGCCCTTTGTATCTCTACCTGAACTCATATGACTGACGTTGACAATATACAAAGTCTGATTTCTATACGTAGATCCCGTTGCAACACACGGGCACATTTGCTAGTTATACTAATATAAAAAGTGTATTTAGCACTTTCTCGAAAAGTCTAAGAGCAACTCTAGCAGGAAACCCAAATCAGGGCCTCCATTTCTGATTTGGGTGTTTCCCCTTTTTTTTCCTTCTATTTTGTATTTACTCCGGCAGAAGCCCCTAAAACAAAACCCCCAAATCCTCTTAAAAGACACTAACCATTGGGACCCACTTGTCATCTTCAATCCTCCACCATATGAGCTATTGCAAGGCGCACAGAGAAGGGGAGAGGAGCCGGTGGGGCGGGCCGAGGGAGAGGAAGGAGCCGGCGGTGGGGCGGGCCTACTGCTCCACCGCGTCCCCTGCGAGCCGACCATCGGGAAGGAGCCCGAGCAGACAGCGTGCGAGCACATGGCCGCGACTGCCAGAGCAGACGACGTGCAAGCAGCGGCCCAGGGAGGAGTGTCCTCGGTGTGTGGGAGGGAGTGACAGCAGAGGCCACGACTGCCGAAGGGGAGGGAGGAGCCGCCGCGTCCGTGCGGGCCCTGCGTCGCTGACCATCAGGAAGGCTCGATTCACGGGCGTTCGATGCAGGCACTGCCGAAGGGGAGGGAGGAGCCGCCATGTCCATCACAAGCCATGCCGATGGGGAGGGAGGAGCACACGAGCAGATCTAGCCGGGGAAGGAGCAAGGAGGCCGCCGGGGAAGGAGAAGAGTATGTCTAGCTTGTGTTTTTTTAAGTTTCACATGAATTTTTTTACACCATAAAATTAAGATCCAACAACCTCCATCCTCCTTCTATCTCCAGCCTTCTTCTACCTTCAGTCTTCTTCTACCTCCAGACAATCACAAATCACAAGATCACAGATTCACAGATCCACATATTACAAGAAACAATTTGTTTCTATACAAGGATAAGAGGACAAATCACGTCCAGATCTGATCGGAGCCATACGACGCGACTGACAGAACGCGCGTATAGGCCTGCCCCAGCATGGAGGTGAGCTGCAATGGCTTGATGTAGACACGCACGGACGGACACGAAGCGCTTGAGGCAAGCGTGCATCCTTCCTTCTCAACACGCGACTTCAAGACGCTACTGGCTCGTGCACCCATGTGACGATAAGAGGCCACCATGCAGCCGGGCAAGTAGTTGTACATGACTGCTTCTTGAGACGACATCGGAAAGGCGACCACAGGTGTTTTTTTACCACAGGTGTTGCACAAAGAAAATCCATGTGTTTTTTTATGCTAAAACATATGTGTGTTGTATAGCATTTCTGAAGGAGAAAGGAGGACACGGGGGAGCGAGTGCCGCTTAGGATGGGGCTGGGGGTTGAGCCCCCGTTCTCACACAAAAATAGGGTCTGGAGGATGGATTTGGGTGGCCAGCCTGAATTAGGGACTCTAGTAGGGTCTTGCTAGGACTGCATTTTTGGCTTGAGCCCAAATAATTAGCTATGGGACTCAAGTAAGGGGTCTGCTGGAGTTACTCTTACAGTAATTAACACCACAATCACCCAACCAACGGGTGGATCAATATATCACCAGTCAGATTTTTATAATCTAGCTTTTACAAGCTAATATTAGCTTCCACAATTTGAAAGAATCCAAACTAGGAGTAGAGGTTACCCAACCATCTTAAACCAAACCCAAACCCCAGCATCCCGAATTCCGCCAGTCGCCATGGAGCCATTCCGGCGCTGGGTTGATCTACCGCTAGATCTCCTCTGCCGCATAGGGGATTGGCTCGACCTCAAGTGGTATGCCAACGCGCAGGGCGTCTGCACGGCGTGGCGCTACGCGCTCGTGTCGCCGTCCCCTGCGCTCCTCATTGTTACCGACAGCGACCGCTGGTGCCCCTACACCGCCTCCCTCCCCACGCGGAGGTCCTTCGAGCTCACCACCATCGTCTCGGGAAGCCGCTGCATCGGATCCAGCAACGGCTGGCTCGCACTCTCCGTCATCGCCTCCATGTACGAGACCGTCTTCGTGCTCCTCAACCCCGTCATCGCCGTGGAGATCATCCTTATCGGTGTTTCGGATCACCAGCTAGTAAATTTCTAGTTTGCGCGTCTGGCCCGGATGGTGTGCTCGGAGGACACAAGGATTATACTAGTTTGGGCAGAACATCCCTATGCCTAGTGTGCTACTGCTCATGTTACCGGCACTGTCTGTAGTAGGGGTTATAGATGGGCGAGAGAGGGAGAAGGTCCCAAGTCTTTGGTGAAAAGATCAAACAGAGTTGAGTCTTGTTGAGCTCGTTCCGCTATGTGCTCATGCCCATCTTGGGGCGTCCTGCTTCCCCTTTTATAGGGGAAGGGGAAGGCACAGGTTACAGAGAGAGAAAAGGAGAAACGCAAGGGAGAAGAAGGCCTCCAGGGCCATGGCATCCTTCATCTCCTTTATGCGGATCCCGCTGGTCCTATAGATGGTGACGGGGACGGCTCCACGTCGGGCTTTTGTTCACCACTGGTGCCATGCCTTGACGTCATCAACTGGTCGTGGCGTCCCGTCCCGTCCCAGCGAACGGCATGGTGAACCGACATGCCTATCAGTGGCCGTACGGGGATTAGGCAGCACAGCGACCACGCACCCATCACTGTTGGCGATGCGAACCCCCGGGCGTGGCCTATCGTGGCCACGGGTCATGTCAAGGCGTGCCCGTGCCCCTTCTGGTGTCAGAGGCTTGACCTAGGCCTATATGCTTGGACTCGTAGTGGTTGGGGGTGGTACGGACCTCGCTGGGTGAGGCGGAGCCCGCGCCCGAGGGGTTGGGCGAGACGGAGCCCGTGCCCTCAGGGTCGGGCGAGACGGCTCCCGTACCCTCAGGGTCAGGCGACACAGGGCCTGTGCCCAAGGGGTCGGGCGAGGCGGAAACCGTCCCTTCAGGGTCGGTTGAGACTAAAATACGTCCTTCAGAGTTGTCGTCCACAGTCCTCAGATCTCTTCTTCGGGTATCCCTAACACTGATACCCGATAGTAGCCCCCGAGCCTGCGGAGGAGTAGAATACTCCTTTGGAGGCTTTTTTCAGGTGGGAGGACTCTGAGGGCCTCGGTCTCCCTTTGTAGCCTACGGGGTGTCTTGGTAGGGTTGCGATTCCCCTTTGTCACAATCGAACTCTTTGGGAACATGTAGCTGTGGGATTCGGGGGGGGGGGCGGAAAAGGTTTCTCTTGATTTCGATCCCTCCCTAGGATCCGATCGATCCGCCATCGTCATGCAACCGCGTATTCGGTCTTCTTACGAGCCCAACTTCCCTCGAGCCCCTACACGTAGCAGGGGTCTAGTCGAGGGGTCAGCTCATCTTGTGATCATCCTCCCTCAAGTGTTTTTTCGATAAAACAGAGGGGTTGAGTCGTGCCATGTTTTCTTCAATGGACGAATCATGGTGCTCGGTGAGCTATTAACAGGCTGGTCCGAGTGGGGCCTCGGCTTCCCGTTTGTGGGGGTCTAGCATGGGTCAGCTGGTGACTGACTCTAGATTCTTGGCGGCCAATCCATATAGTTCCTGGATTTGTTCGACCGGTCTCGAGGGTCGCTACCTTTCTTTGAGGAAAAACCATGGACTGTGAACCGACCAAGACTCGAACGTGGGCCAGGATGCCTGCGCAATCGGCTAAAATAGCCGATGTAAGCATAGCAAACAAACAGAGTACATATCTCGATCATGAACAAAACCACTAATCAATAATTTCTAATCTAAAGTCTTACCAGTGAGGTTCGACTGGATCGATGTAGCTATGGTAGTGTCATTAGATTAGATCTCATTAACTAGTGAGTTTATTCAAGATTGAAACTTGTCTTTGGATGCATACTATGTTTGATTGGAATAGAGATAAAACAATCGATCTAGCGGAATTAAGTCATCAATTATGAGATTTAAAGCATGACCAGATCAAAGGATGACCAATTAAGATGATATGATGCCGATCTATCTCTATCTCAATCAGGTGATTTGTTACAATTAATAAAACATTAATTATAACAAGATCGATAACTGGTGAATCAACTAAAAACAACAAGAAAAATCTTACTAATCTTAGCAGATTCGATAACTGGTGATATTTTATTAAATAACAAGTTATTTAACACAAGATCAATAACTTTGATCTATATTAAGATTCATAAGAGATCAATCAGCTGATGTAGCTTTACAAGCACAATATAAGTCGTGACGGTACTCACAAACAAGCTGGAGGTTGATCAGTCGATGTAGCCTTGTTTGCTGAAGAACTCACCGAAAAGCTACATTACTCCTACTCCTAAGGGTTGGTGTGAAGCCGAAAAAGTAAAGACTGATTTTGATTGATGTGTGTATGTCTCGTTACAATGGCCAGGGTACATATTTATATCCTAAACTAATGACTCATGACAAGCCTTGCACGTATCTTCCATGGCAAAATATCTAGACAAAAAGAAATACTAAAATACATTTCCATGGCAAAATATCTAGACAAAAAGAAATACTAAAATACATGGACTCTAATTTCCTTTTTTGTAGAATCCTTGCTAATAAAGCTTCTTCCTTGGCCGATGTGTCTTCTCTTGTTTAATTCAACCGGCAAAGATCCTGAATGCAAACATACCACCTTGCCGAGCACGTATATGAATATGACACCTAGCCGGACATGTGCATGCACATACATGATATGTGTCCTCGCTTCCTTGTGTGCGCAAATAATATTCATTTCCTTCCATGCATGGACTCCATTACTTGTAGTATATATCCATGAAACAAATAGGAATAACCATGGCCAAATACATTAACTGGTCATACTTGCATGCCTCCTCCTAATAGCTGAACATGCAAGTCTCCATATGCATGTATATCTCCTTTGCTTTAATCGTGAAGTTGGTCTTTGATTCGAATACAGCAAAGTAGATAGCCTTCCATCTGCATATACACACGTAGGCACCACGTGTCTTAATTAATCAAGCAGGCCTCCCTTCTTTCCCTTGGACACATGAACTCCGATCTGCATGTATCTTTATCTTTCTTTATCTTCTCTTCACGCACGTGCAAACCAACTCATGATCTGCTCCTTCTCGTGAGGCTTCTCCCAGATTAAAAAATATTTTCTGGCCGAATCACAAATATTCCTAAATTAGGAGATTTTCTTATTTTTGACACTATCGGCCGATTCCCTCCTTTTAGGGAAAGCTTAACAAATTTTGGTGTCAACAGTATGTCGCAATCTCAATTTATACAAAAGGTTAGCGCATATTGTGGTCAAGGAACGGGAGGAAAAGAAGAGCAACAAAGAAAAGTTAGTCCTCGGGTAGTCGGGAGTGATTGAAAAGCCTGAGTGGACGTCACGTCCCAAGCCCTGTGTCTAGCTCGACCACACTATACACACCAGGTCACTATTGCCGCGTGCCCTGCGAACGCCGTCAGTGTCAGGGCCCACTAGCACCCTGTCCTTGCGTAACCACCGTACTCGTGCACTGTGCGCTTCCCCTTTTCCCGGCACCCTATCAGCTCTCGATCCCCGCCCTCACTCCCGTACCGGACCCCCCCTTTCCCCTCTCTTTTTTCTCATTTTGGGGACACGGACGCCCGCACGCCTCCTCATCGAGCCAACCCCCTCTCCTTTTTTCCTCCCTCCACTCAAGATCGTGCAGGGAGCACACCATGGCCGACGCTCTGCCCACCTCGTGACCCATCAGTGTCTCCCATCCACGCTGCCTCAACTTCTGGTGCACTATGCCCCACCTTCATTCGCCACTATAAGATGCCCTTGCTCTCCTCTTTCATCCCCATCCCCCTCGAATCCAAAGCAGAGCTACGAGATCCAGTCATCGTTCGTGGAACTAGGGTCGTCAGTCAGAGGTGATTGTGTAAACTAAGAAGAAGGGATCTAGTTTTTGTCAAAGAAGTTCAAGTCCACCTCTGGTTAGTTTAAGTCTTAGGGTTCACGATGATCGATTTCTCACCCTCATGTTTCTGGATCTGTTGGACATACATCATGTTTTGATTAATCATTATCTTGATGTTTCTCCATTGTCCTCGTCCATCTCAACTTCTGGATTAAGCTTTGGTTGTACTAGGTTGCTCTTAACCGTGTATCTCTAAATCTCTGGGTGGTTTAGTATTTGACGTCGTGTAATCTTCCGTGTAATTTTAGATCTATGAAGTGTAATCACATTTTCCTTTTTCGATTCTTGTTTCGAATCTCGGGATGAGATTCTTTTTATGGGGGAAGGTTGTAACACCTTTGGTGTTACGAGCTTGCTTAGCACCTAGGTTAAGATCAACAAAAAACAATTTATATAAACAAAAATAAAATATAACTTGTGTGTAGTACTTAAGTAAAGATGATGAGCAAGTGGTGTAGTTGAAAATGCAACTTTAATTTTTGAAAACAAATGTTGTTAACTAGTGTTCTTGAGAGCTCAAAAATCGAATCAGGAATTTAAACTAGAACTTTTCGTTGAATCGACAAGAAATTGAACTTAGGTTACGAACGTCATTTTTGGTGAGTTATATTGAGCAAAATAGTTAAAAGGTGCTTAAATGTTTTGCTTCGATGGGTTAGTATGTAGTATAGGCTATTGAGTGAAATATTCATTGGTTGAAATTAATAAGGTTTAGACATTAAAAAATTGCAACAAAAGTGCTAATGGTTGTTAGTTCTAATCGAACCTTGCCCTCTTCTAAGTCTGGAAATGATAGTAGACCATGCCGTTTTGACACTCAAATTCTAACCAAATTGTTTAAACACTAACTTCATATTCTCATACTGTTGATTGCCCCTAAGTGAGTACTTGAGCATGGTTTAGGTGGTAGTGGTGTTGGGTGTCACGATACCCTCGCAAAAATTGCCCGAACCTCGTTAAAACATGTCAAAGTCATGTCGTTGGCGCTCTGTTCGTGAACTGATATTCAGAGCGACAAGCTCACATTGGCATCCATCTACCTCCTTCCCTGGTGGTCCTCTAGTCATGGCGATGGCGTTGATAGGTCGTTGGCAATATGGACTTTACGATAGGGGATTTAGTTGAACCTCAACTGTGATCGTTAGTGACTTTTGCTATGCATTGAAATGTGTGCACGTCACCTAGGGCAGCCGTTTGGACTAGGTTCACAGTCACCGCGGGCACAGCGTGGTGGTGCCGGGGTCACGTCACGACCAAGCCACGGTCGTCGGCCCACGCGTGCGCTAGGCCTGTGCCGCGCTGCGCCCAGGTCTTGCGTGGCCCGACTCGGCTGGCAGTGATCTGGTCACCTGACCGTGGTGTGCGCGCGCCAATGCCAACCACCGAGCCGTGCACAGGGCCACGATGGAGCTACGGCTGTCACCGCCTTGCCATTGTGGCGCTCACTCCACCTTTCATCCTACCTACCGCATCGAGTCTTTGGACGTGTGCCACTGCCATCGTGCCTCGGTCGATGACCCCGGTCACTGTGGTGATGAGATGTTTCCCTGCCTCGCCCGCTAGCCGACACCGGTGAACCCCGCTTGGGTCTTGCCACTCCATTCAAGCGTGTCGCGCCAAGCCCATGAATCGTCACCTGTGCGCACATGTTCGAGCTACCGCCATCAAATGGAACCGCCCCGTCTTAATCCGCTCGCCCATGCTCGGGTGCACTTTCCACGGCATGACCATGGCTAGAGCTCCGCCTTTCCGCCCTCCATTTCGCCTAGCTCAGGGCTTCATAGTTCGATTCCTCGTACCAGTAGGTGGCATAAGAAGGCAACTAGACGTCCCATCTTCCCCATGTCCGGTCGAACGCTACCAACCGCCAATTTAGCATTTTGCTCGCCGCTGGCCATGGGCGCTGTCGTAGCTCGTGGATTGGGGGTAAGTCCCAATCCGTGGGGAAAGAACCCAATTGGTGGCGTTTCTAGACTCATGTTGATCCACTCTAGCTGGTGCTTGTGACAGGTTGGCCTGGTTTTTCATCGTGGGTGCGGTGACGTGACAGTGCCATGCTCGGAGAGCCACTACCCGCTCTATCGCACATGGCCAGACCACCCCAGTGCTCCCCTATTTCAACCGTCATTGGAGCGTGAACCACAATGAGCTACTGATGCTTCTCCGCCACCTCTACCCTTCCAAGACTGCGTAGGTTCGTTGGAATAGGCACGCCGCCGCCGTAGCTAGCCGCTCGCCATCCTCTCCCAGCAGTACGCCGTTGAGCTCCCAACCGCCATCCATACTTGCGGGTTTAGTCATAGATAGTGGTTGGCCCTTTATTCCTGTCACGGTGGGTCTAGCTCGCCTAGCGTAACCGCCGGTGTGCTGCGCCGTCGCGCGCGGGTACGTCGGGGACCGCCCCGTTGCAAAGGTAACATGTTCTAAGGTCCTTAGTGTAAAACACGTCTCTCGTGCAATAGTGATCAGAGGCGCCGCGTAATAACCGGTTAGTCCAGGGGTTCTTTTACAAAACATGAGCACGCGCGGGGGCCTTCTGGTCTTTGGCCGTGCTGGGCCGTCGTGACGCGCGCGTGCTGCCCCTACGCTGGGCTGCTGGGCCAATTAAGTCGCCACCGGCCCTTTTCTTTTCTAAAGCATTTCCTAAATTAGTTTCTAAAACCAAACTTGTAAATTTAATAGAAATTTGTGTAGTTGACCAAAAATTGAGACCAATTTTGTTCAGTTCCTAAAATCGTGATCTACCTACTAGTGCATTTTGTTCACATAGTTTCATGGAAATTTCAAGAGTAATCTAATTAATTGGAAGCACTTAATATTGTTAAAACACCAACTTGTAGGAAATATTGTGAGGAATTGGTAGTAGTGTTGGCTCTGAAATTTTTACAGAAAATTCCTAACATTATTAGGTGCTCACTGTAATTTTTGTAACTCCGTAATAATTAGTTTGCTAGGGTAGCTAAATGGGCCCTAGTTCAAAAATATATATTTAATCACCTTGGGATTATAGAACTAAAATATTTTTCAGAAACAAAGCCTTACTTGATGACGTGGATACGTAGACTAGTACATTTGTCGTTAGAGCTAGCTCATTAGCTTGCGAGGTATAATCGTATTCTTAGAGTTGCGGTTGCCGTTGGTTAATTACATTTTTTGCGTTGCATCTACGTATATCATAATAGGGATAACGATGGATCGTGCAGTCGACCGAAAAAGCATAAAAGATGGAGCCTTGATGATCGTGTCACCACGATAGAATGCTAACATTTGGTTATATCTTACACAGACAAGTCCCGGTGCATAACTCCTATTATTCTGTACTTTATCTTATGCTTGTGCATTAAGTTTTAAGGAGTTGAATGAAATCCACTTGCATATATATATATCCTTATCATACGAGTCCTACTAGTATGTTAGGATCGTGTAGATTGCTATGCTAAAGGATTTCAGTAGAAGTCGAGTGATTACCTGTCACTCGCGAGAGATAGGAAATATATTATTGTTGTTATTATCATATTACTATCACATGGAATATACATGAATGATAATTGGAGACCGGACGGGACTGTGCTTTGGATTTGGATTTGGATTTGGACTTGGCAACCGAGCGAGGCTCCGGTTGCATTTGTCCCGCCTGAGTCGATTAAGGATCGTCCGTTGCTGTGGATGGTAGTCAGGTCACAGACTTATTATTCTAAGCACATACTTGCTTATGAGAGCGGAAAGACTTATCACTCTCTTGTCATAGGTTCCGGCTCTTTCCGGACTGACTTTTAGGGGTGGGTGTTAGGTGGAGGTCTAAGCACCATACTGAGATTGAGTCTTAGGTGTTGGAGGCTTAGAGTCCAAGTTTAGATGGGGACCTGGACCCCTTGACAGGAGAGGAATGGGTTGATCTTGTTTGTGCCTGGGGTACAAGCGAGGCGTGTGTTTTGGGGTACCCAGCTAGGATAAATTGATTCACGAATCGCTGTTTCTATGAGACGGTACCGACTTGGCTATGGTCTAGCATCGTAGTAAGAACTGGAATATGAAAGATGATAAAATGGTTCTGATTGCTTACCACCTGCTTGAAAATAGCATATGTGCTTACATAGAATGGTTAGTTAATGAACTAATGATGACTGCTAATAAAATTGAATATAAGGACGCACGTTTAGTAATGCTTCCGCAGATGCAATAATCCATAAGCCAAATAAGCCTTGCATATCTTTGGAGTCTTTTATTTTTCTCCTGTCAGATAAGTCTTGCTGAGTACAATCGAGTACTCAGAGTTTTATTACCCCTATTGCAGGTGACCGATGGATGGTAGACGACTTTTATATGTAGAAACCTTCTGGTGGGCTCAGAGAGGATTCCTTTCACGCTACGACCGTAGTGTTTATTTATAACCCCCACTAAAAGTTTTTAGAAGAAAAGTTTTATGATTTACCATTAATCTTTATTTTCGTTGTATTTCTGATCATTTGTTGTTCTCCGCTACAAGATAAAAATGTGAACCTAAAATGTATAAACTCTTTTTACATTTAAAACTGTCTTAATTCCGTTATTGCATTCAACTTGTTTAATTACTCTAATGCTGTAATAAAGTGATGTAAGAAATGATAGAGAATGTTGTAAGCTTTATTCTCTCATTTATGATCCTGATGAAAAAATATGGATTTTTGAGTTCTCCCTTGAGGTGTGCTCGATGGAACAGCACGATTTAGTGCATTCTTTTGGGTACTTAGTGTCTAATGGAAGACAAATACTCTTGGGAGGGCAGTAGATTAGGCGGTTCTACCACATCGGCGGACGGCGTGGTGAACTGACATGGCTGTCAGCGGCCGTACGGGCATTAGGCAGCACGGCGACCACGCACCCATCACTGTTGGCGATGCAAACCCTTGGGTGAGGCCTGTCGTGGCCACGGGTCACATCAAGGCGTGCTCGCGCCCCTTCTGGTGTCATAAGCTTGACCCAGGCCCATACGCTTGGACTCGTAGTGGTTGGGGGTGGTACGGACCCCGTCGGGCGAGACGGAGTCCGCGTCCGAGGGGTCGGGCAAAATTGAGCCTGCGCCCTCAGAGGTCGGGCGAGACAGAACCCATGCCCTCATGGTCGGGCGAGATGGCTCCCGTACCCTCAGGGTTTAATGACACAAGGCCTGTGCCCGAGGAGCCTGGCGAGGCGGGAACCGTCACTTCGGGATCGATCGAGACTGAAATACGTCCTTAATTATCTAGCAAGTTGCTGTCCGCACTCGTCAGATCCTTCTTCGGATATCCCTATCGCTATACCCGACAATCCTCCCGTCGCTGATCTACTAGTACGAGTACGAGACCCGCTGCGACTGGGTTTCCAAGGTCGTCTTCACCCCGAGCCCCGCCAAGGATGACTTCGCCGCCGCGATCTGCGACATCGACAGGATCGCGTACGTCACCGCCGGTGCCAAGAGGTGGGCCATCATGGATCCCGTCCGCCTCACCAGCGAGGTCGGGGACCAGCTCACCGACGTCGTCTACACTGTCAAATGTAAGGTCTAGTGCCTCTCCAAGTGCGGGGACGTGCATGTGCTCCGTCTCCCTGAGCGCCGACGCCGGAAGCCTGCCAACGCTGATGAGGCAGGGCCCTCGGAGCCAGAGTTCTATGTTCTCCACCCGCCATCACCGCCTTCGCCGCCACCACCGTCGCCGCCGCCACCTGCTAAAGCTAAACACACAATTATTGCCCACCCACTGTCACCCTTGAGGATAATGGCACTCCCATATGAGGGAGTTCCACCTGAATCGCAAGGACCACACATGAATGCGCCGGCCACTATCAAGCCCCTGCTGCCGTTGTTCGACCCTGCCACCGTCTTTGCTCCACCTTATGACACCGTGTCGACGTTCACTAGCGCCAAGAACGTTCACTAGCGCCAAGAACTTGGTGTTCTACGAGGGCAATCTGTACCAAGTCTGGAGGAACACAAGCTACGCCGTGACTCTGCAGCTGCCTGCAGGGGGTCAGCGCCGTGTCGCGGAAAATGAGATACTGGCGCTGAGGTACTATCCTCGGCGTCAGCGTCGGCCTTGCTGGGATGCGGTGAAGGACGTAGGAGGTTACTCACTCTTTGTGGGAAGGAACAATGCAGTGTCGATGTATGCAGAGGGCGTGCCGGGACTGAGGGGCAACTGTGTGTACTGGATCGACAGGCGTGGTAGGGATCAGGGCATGGCCTTTGACATGGAATCTGGGAGGTCCACGCCTTGCGGGGCTCCTCAGCCTGGCTTTTTACCTGGTGGTCATCCGTATAGCACAATCTGCTGGTACTTCATGAGCGATGTAATGAGCCGGCTGATAAGCCGGCTGAAACTGTTTTGTTGTGAGAAAAAAATACTGTAGATTCTAGCTGATAAGCCAGCTGATAAATTCAAGCGAACAGGGCCGCGAGCAGTGGATGACTGGGCGACATAGTGAGGACCACCAAGCACTTTGGTGTGTAAGTTCAGTTTATCGCTTGTGGTCTTGAAAGTCAGAGCTTGATCTCAAGGCAAAGCAAAATCTTGCAGGGAAGGCTGAGGAACTGCCACAAATAATGTTTCAATTTGTTTACTTGCCTGTGGCCTCTATAATGTTTGAATGTTTATTTAATCTTTGCTGTGTTGAAATAATTCAATGGATTATGTAATATTTTGGGTGTTGGTAATGTTCTGAATATTACTCTTTTTTTTATCCGAATGTTCTGAATTTTACTACCAAACTAATGTGCACATGCGCTGGACGCACACTTGGGCATGCATATGGGAGGAATTAGAAAAAAAAATTGAGAGAGACCTTCGCCTGTTGCCTTTAAATAGGGTCAAAGCCCAAAGAGGAGCCCAAAACTGAACAAGAGAGAAGTTTACTGTACTCTTCACTCACCATACAAGAGAAAGAAAAAAAAACTCCACGTTCCTTTCTATTTCTAAAGAAAAAAAAACTCCACGCTCCTTTCTATTTCTCTGCTCCGAGTGTACATACACCGATCAATTTCTCAAACACTTGCGCCATTATCCTTACGTCATTGGAAGCTTGAGCTCTCCAATATTTAGATGATGGGGGTTTACTAGACATTTCATTCAGGGTGAGGGGAATACATTCAAAAGGGTTAAAATAACTGCCGTAGTAAATTCCCAACATTGCAAGACACTCCTCCGTAAAAAAAAAAAAATTGTAATACATTACCAAGTTAAAGTATCTTAAGTTTAATTAATTATGTATAAAAAGTACTATTTATGATATGAAATAAGGATTAGTAGATTTGTCGTGAGATATATTTTTTATAGTGTATCTATTTGGTGTCATAAACATTAATATTTTACATGTATATTTGACCAAATTTTATAGATACTTTAAGAAAGAATGCACCTAGCATTTCATAGTATTATTACAATTACAAAGATGACTACAACATACACACGAATGTTGCCAACTACTAGATTCGTGCAACCACTAGGCTACAGCTACAAAGATGACTACATCAACATAATGGTTATAGTGTCAACTGCTCAATTCTACTGTTACAAACAGCCTAGAAAACTAGTACCCTAAGCTACACGGGGTTTCCAACTTCCACCTGAATCAAAGCAAGAAAACATTGTAAACCAACAACAGCTCCGCTCTTCGATCCACGAATTCCTGGCATACACCAAAAATAAAATAGAGGTGCATGCCTATATCAACCCCGGATTCAACCATTAAATTTCCAGGCCAAGGATAATGCAATCTGCCAACATGGGGCAACACCGCTCTATCATGGCACGAAGCCCACACCAAACTCCTGCATCAAGTCATGGCCATCATATATACTTCACAGTTTCTTGGCACTTCCATTAATATCTTCCTCACCAGTAGCGGCCTCGGAGAGCCTTGGAATCACACCAAAAGTCCAGAATACAGGGTCTGTACTCATTTGTCTGAAGAGCTGACAGCTCAAGTCTCATCCACAGTTTAAAAGTTCAGTGCCCAGGCACATCATTTATACGAACTCTCAAGGAACATGGCATTCCGAACTGGAGTATGTTCCATAAGGAGCCCTATGTATGGTCCTTGGAAAGTCTGACTTGAACCGCTTGTTAAAATTTGATGCCAATGACCTGCGGTAAATGGTAATTGTATAGTCATTTAAATCATATATGAAACAGAAGCTACAATATGTATACAAAACACAGTGACCAAAATCCATGTCTGAATGGTGACGGGAACATGCAATACTATTCTACATTCTGACCCAACCCAGCTAAGACACCATAATTTTTCCTTATACCCACTTAGGCCTAATCCATAATAACTGAGAACTAGGGCAGTCAAGAGAAGACTACCACCAAGCACATGAAAAAACTTCTTTGCTAGGAGGACAAATAAACATCTTGTGATTCCATCCAACATAGAAGTACTGTTCAGCTTCATCAATCAAGGTAGTTTTTGTATTAAGAAAAACGTTGCAGCTAGCAGCACCAAAAGATCAACAAATAATCACCTGGGAGAGCCGGACCGTTTATAACCAAGTTGACCTAGCATGGATCTTAATGTCCCAAGAGCCTCATCAGCAGCCTACAAAGTGATTAGTGAAAAACCATGTGAAAGTTCAAGTTGGAAAGATAACAACTAATGTAACCTGATCAAGAAAAGGCCAATACTGTTTAGTTTATGTTTGTTCACTAATCACAGCTCAAAACCTATAAATAGAAGATACTGGCATACTGTTTCTACTAAAATAGTTAAGGTAGGGTGAGCACTACAACAAATGCAATGCTTCAGACATTAGTTTTCTGAAAACCAAGAGGGTGATTTGGTTGAAACAATAAATTACATGTGAGGACACTTGAACATAATCTCCTGAACCATTCAACTTGTTCAATTAATCCCCTGCACACATTTTTTGGTTGATCTGAGCCCTCAACCTATTTAATCTGTCTACAGTTCCATCCCTCAGTCTCATTGATGATAACATGGATTACCGAATTTTTGCCAAGTGTGAATGACAATGTCAGCTGGACAGCTGGTGTAGACATAGGTCCTATGTCCCACCTGTTAGGAACGCAAATATTTCAAGAAACATGAATCCAGAGCCCTGAAGCCTGGGTGACACCATATCTCTCTTCTCATCAGTGTGGTGGATGCCTGCTTTACTTGGGCCCAGATTTTTGCAGACTGACACCCAAATCTCATAGACACTGCAGTCAGCCTCGTTTCTTTGTCACCATCCCCGATCCCCGTCAACATGCCAGTTCTCGTACGATAAATTTGGGTTTTGAAAGATCATGCTAAGATATGGCTGCAGTTGTGGAGATGACTCTTCGGTACCTAGTTTTCATGCCATCCTTGTGCACCTGCCACTGTCATAGTGTCATCTGCCATCGTGATCTATGTCATCAGCTTAGCTTTGGCTCAACTCCTACTCCTAGGACCAGCATCCTCAATCATCAATCCTATGCCGCCTCCCTCTACCACTTCCATGGTGCCACACTACCACGGCAGTGGCTGTGCTGTAAATTAATTTTTTTGCTTCATTGTTTGGGGAACAATATTATTATCTACACTAGTATTCAAACATACCCTATGAGGCTATGTGGAAGCCTACATGGAAAGAGTTGACATGCAAAATCATCATGCAGTCGATAAGACTTAACATAAGGGCCTGACTAGACCTTCCTGGATACTTTGAGCCTGAGTGCTCAATGCTAAATAATAATAAAAAAAGAAACAAGGATAGATTGAGCAAAACATACTAGTTCAAGAGCTTGAAATTTTGTGAAATAGGACATATAAGTTCACTTTACCTATCAAAATTGAAACTCACACAAGAAAACAAAACAAAATATGACTGCCCATGATGCTGAATTGAACACAAACAATTCTATCCTTTGGATTTGCTGACGAATCCAGATTTTCTTATGGCAAGGAAAATAAAGTAACAAAAGGAAAATAAATCGATTCTGTATTAGAGTGCTTAGTACTTACTACCTGGAGCTTGGCACCTTCCTAAGTTAGCCCAACTCCTTTGCCTAGAATTTGTCCGCAAACTTCTACCTGAGCATAAGATCTGTTCCCAACTGAACCATCTGGTGGAGACGGACGAGCTTGAAAAACTAAGTTATATCCCTCAACCATGCACTGCAATGTGTTTTATTTGTGAAGGGGGGCCATCGTCCCAAATACAATTTTGTTTTATTTGTCATTTTTTGATAAACAATGTAACTAAAGTGTGCCGAATTGTTTCAAAAAAAATAAAGAGAGTACCCGATGAAGACGATTGGAAGCATAGATTCTAAAAGCTAGGATTGGATCATTTTTTAAAGTAAAATGTTCAGAATACCCTCACTCTTTAGCGTGGGTAAATGTGAGGACTGAGGAGTTAAAAGGTGAAGGGCATAATCGTCCTTTTAAAACTCATAACACTGCCGTGACGTCCGGAAAGGATCTGTCTGGCTTTGCCCTGATCTATGTGCTGCTAGCCTCATACAGTCATACCCGAACAATTCCTACCCGAATGATTAATACTCTATCCGTCACAAGAGACTGTAAATATAAGATTTATACTCCTCGAATCCATGTCCCTCCTCCTAAAAAACAAGTCAAATTAGCTTACCCAACTAGTTGTACTATAAATATATATTTATTACGTAACTAAATGACACTTATTTTGTATCATAAACGTTAGGAGTTTTTTTTTTATATAACTTTGAACTAATCTCAAATTGTTTGACTCCCGGACGGATGGATTATATACATATATGCAGGTAAGGTCAATTTACACCGTTTCTTCTATAAATTTTTTTAAAAAAAAGAATGGCGACTTCTTAGGCTGAGGCATGGCTGGGCCACATGCATATGTTTCAACTATATGGCCAAGTATTCAGCTTAGCAAAATTAACAAGTTGAGGTCAAGCTTTGTCGAGCCTATTATTAGTAAAAAATGAACACTCCTTGTGCAAAATAAAACAAGTAAGACTCTATCGAGTATTGTCTAATTATATTAATAAAAAATGTACCTATTACTTTCTCGAAAAGTCTTAATGGACAATCAACAATAATTAAGATCACAATCACTCAACCAGCTGGTGGTGGTGGATCGATATATCACCAGTCACATTTTTATAATCCAGCTTTTCCAAGCTAGCTTCCACGATTGTAAGACTTTCCAAACTAGGAGTAGAGGTTGCCGAACCTTCTTAAACCAAACCCAAGCCCTAGCATACCAAATCCGCCAGTCGCCATGGCGCCGGAACAGCGCTGGGCTGATCTGCCGCCAGATCTCCTTTGCCGCATCGGAGACCGGCTCGACCTCAAGTGGTATGCCGGCGTGCGGGGCGCCTGCACGGCGTGGCGCCGCGCGCTCGTGCCGCCGTCGCCCGCGCTCCTCGTGGTCGCCGACGGCGACCGCTGGCACCCCTACGCCGCCTCCCCCTCCCCACGCGGAGGTCCTTCGAGCTCACCGCCATCGTGTCGGGAAGCCGCTGCGTCGGATCCAGCAACGGCTGGCTCGCGCTCTCCGTCGTCGGCTCCATCGACGAGACCGTGTTCGTGCTCCTCAACCCCATCGCTGCCGTGGAGATCATCCTCCCGCCGCTGATCTACGAACACGAGGATGAGAGCCGCCGCGATTGGGTTTCCAAGGTCGTCTTCACCCCGTGCCCCGCCAAGGACGACTTCGCCGCCGCCGCGATCTGCGACATCGACAGGATTGCGTACGTCACCGCCGGTGCCAAGAGGTGGGCCGTCATGGACCCCGTCCGCCTCACCAGCGAGGTCGGGGACCAGCTCACCGACGTCGTCTACACTGACAAAGGTAAGGTCTACTGCCTCTCCATGTGCGGGGACGTACATGTGCTCCGTCTCCCTAAGCGCCGACGTTGTAAGCCTGCCAACGCCGATGAGGCAGGGCCCTCGGAGCCAGAGTTCTCCGTTCTCCAGCCGCCGCCTCCTCCCCCGCCGCCTGCTGAACACACAATTATTGTCCCCCCACCGTTTTGGCAATATCAGGAGCCATTGGGGATAATGCCACTCCCCCCATATGAATATGAGGAAGTTCCACCTCAATTGCAAGGACCACACCTGAATGCGCCATCCACTGTTGAGCCCCTGCTGCCGCTGTTCGACCCTGCCACTGTCTTTGCTCCACCTTATGACACCGTGTCGGCGTTCACCAGCGCCAAAAACTTGGTGTTCTGCAAGGGCAATCTGTACCAAATTTGGAGGAACACAAGCTGCACCGTGACTCTGCAGCTGCCTGCAGGGGGTCAGCGCTGTGTCGCGGAAAATGAGATACTGGTGCTGAGGTACTATCCTCGACGGCGACGCCGGCCTTGCTGGGATGCCGTGAAGGACCTAGGAGGTTACTCACTCTTTGTGGGAAGGAACAATGCAGTGTCGATGTATGCAGAGGGTGTGCCGGGACTGAGGGGCAACTGTGTATACTGGATTGGCGGGCGTGGTAGGGATCAGGGCATGGTCTTTGACATGGAATCTGGGAGGTCCACGCCGTGCGGGGCTCCTCAGGCTGGCGTTTTACCAGGTGGTCATCCGTATAGCACAATCTGCTGGTACTTCATGAGCGATGTAATGAGCAGCAGCAGCAGTGGATGAAAAAAAGTTTATCAGACCTGAGCAAGCAGATCTTGCACAAGACGTGGAAGAATGATCGCATGGCCGAACTTCTAGGTGGCATATTGAGGACCACCAAGCACCTTGGTGTAAATTGAGTTTATCGTTTGTGGTCTTGAGAGTCAGAGCTTGATCTCAAGGCAAAGCAAAATCTTGCAGAGAAGGCTGAGGAACTGCCTCATGTGTAGCCTGTCTCCTAAAATAATGCTCAGTTTGTTTACTTGCCTGGAGCCTCTATAATATTTGTATGTTTTTTCAATGTAACCGGATAATTGTTGTCTTTCTATACTTAATTTTCATGTTGTTGTGTTGAAATAATTCAATGGATTATGTGTTGTGTTGAAATAATTCAGTGGATTATGTAATATTTTGGGTGCTGGTAATGTTCTGAATTTTACTACCAAAAAAAATATAAACTACTAATGTGCACACGCGCTGGACGCACACGTGGGCATGCATACGGGAGGAATTAGAAAAAGATTTGAGAGAGGCCTTCATCAGTTGCCCATAAATAGGGCCAAAGCCCAAAGGGAAGCCCAGAACTGAACAAGAGAGAAGTTTATTGTACTCTGCACTCCCCCTGTACAGCATACACATTCCTCTCTATTTCTCTGCTATGAGTGTACATACACCGATCAATTTATCAAACGCTTTGCGCCATTATCCTTGCATCATTGGAAGCTTGAACTCTCCAACGATAGATGATGTGAGGGGAATACATTCAAAAGGGTTAAAAGAATTGCCGTAGTAAATTCCCAACATTGTAAGACAACAGGGACCATATATACGTATACTCCATCCGTAAAAGAAAAACAATTTTAACATTTTACCAAGTCAAAGTATCTTAAGCTTGATTAACTATGTATAAAAAATATCAATATTTATAATATGAAATAAGGATTATTAGATTAATCATGAGATACATTTTTATAGTATATATATTGATGGCATAAACATTAATATTTTTACATGTATATTTGATCAAACTTTAGATACTTTAAGAAAGAATGCACCTAGCATTGCATGGTATATTACAATTACAAAGATGACTACAACATACACATGAATGTTGCCAACTACTAGATTCGTGCAACCACTACGCAGATTGGCTGCCTAGGCTACAGCTACAAAGATGACTACATCAACATAGTCATATGGAGATCAAATCCAATTGGTTCCAACAATGTATAGTGTTATACTATAAAGTTAAGTAGCACAAACTTACTGGCCAAGTTTCTTAAAGACATCTCTGCAGCTTGGCGCTGTGCTTCTCTCCTTGTCCTACCAATTCCTTCACCGACCTTTTCCCCAACAATCCAAACCTGAACAAGATGCAATTAAAAAAACAAGGAGAAATATCATAAGCACAATAACATTATTACAAGTCCAACTGAAAATCAGAAGAGGGAGAGGAAGACCGAAGCTGACATGGGAGGAGGCAATTAAAAGAGATTTAAAGGGTTGGGATATACCTAGAGATTTTTGTTTGGATAGGAGTGCTTGGAAAACAGCTATTGACGTGCCTGAACCGTGACTAGGGGCTCATGTTGGGTTTCAACTCTAGCCTACCCCAACTTGCTTGGGACTAAAATGCTTTGTTGTTTGTTGTTTGTTGTTGTTGTTGCTGCTGCAACTGAAAATCAGATACCAATGCAGATTTTGGCTATTGTCAGATTCGTAATTTCCTATGAGAATTATGTTGAGATATATTATCAGAATAGGACACTTATCGACAATAGCTATTCATTCTGGACTTCCTTGTTTGATCATATTGCTAATATAAAGAAACTAGTCTACGTATCACAGAAAGTTGACCTGTACTCCACCTAAACACGAAAGGAAATGTCATTGATTACAAGAACAAGTCTTCTAGTCCATTAGCGTTGAATACTAGATTCTGTGAAAATAAACGCCATGTGTTCCTTCTTTGTATAGATTCTCTTGTCTAGTTCTGCTGCTCCTCTCGGGCTTGTAACTGCTATTGTTTTGTTTTTGGCTTGTGCTGATCCCTTTCTGTACAGTCTTCTCAATCATTTTTTCCTTAATAAAATCCTACATTGGGGGTTTCCCCTATGTATTTTATGTTAAAAAAGAAGTATTGAATACTACAAGTACCTTAGATCCACACTTCAGCACACTCCCCTCTAATATGCCAGCAGAGGTCCCTGCATATTGTGGAAAGTGTCTTCCTGATTCCATATGGTTGTTTCTCTGACCTGAGGGAACATGCCGAGCTGCTAGCTCCTCACTTTCATGGCATAAACACAGTTAAGCATAATCCGTCCTATAAACATCATATGTATACCAAGCTGCACTTAGTGAAAGCGAAATATAGGTCTATCAAATTGCAAGCTTTCATAATCGTGCCACCTTTAGTGAAAGCACATGTGAAATAATTATTAATTATTCACCATCAATGCTTTAACTTATAACAAATTCATGTGCATATTGCTGGTCACATACAACTGCAGGATCATTAAAACAATTGGTAAAAAGAAGCGCCTCAAGCTACAAATAACAGAGTGAGGACCTTGTTTACCAATAACGCACAGGTCTGTGCTACAATCAAGCTTGTCAATTCATTCCATTCCGGTGATCATTCCAGTTTAGCAGTTGGAATGATATGTTCCCGTACCGGTGCATTCCGGTGTACCATTCCGGATTTCATTATTTTATACATATTTAATATTGTATATGGTGTACATAAGTAGCTACAAAAACTAATAAGAACATATAAATAAAAGAAACAGAAGACAAGTTAGTTGCATGTTGGACTAATCTAACTTATGATGGGCCTGTGCTCTAATCCAATTCAGCAAACCTTCCAACTGAATTCCAGAAGCCACGGAGTAGAGAATAGCATGCTGCATGCTACTGTCAGTGAGGGAAAGAGCATACTACATACGTACTAGTACGTACTACTTTCCTGTCTCTCTGTATTCTGGCGCTCGTCACAGTGCAAGCTAGGAGAGCCGCAGGACAGCGCCTGGCCTGGACGCCCACGTGAGTGTGCTGGCAGGGAGCGCGACTGACTGGTACTGGCTTGAGCGGATCATCAGTTCCGCCCGGAACGGCCGGAAGGAACCGAGATGGCCGGTATTTCTAACGGTACGGGATGGGAGTTGCTGTGTACCGACTGACGCGACGGTACGAGGCGTTTCGGCCGTTCCGGGCGGTACCGGAACGGAATTTACAACTATGGCTACAATACTCTATGAATCCAAAAGGACCAGTAAGCTGAATCATGTGTTGGAAAGACACAGCAGTATAGAGGAGAACGAAAAAAAGAACAGAGACCCTCAATGTGAAAAGGAGTGAGGAAGGGACAGAGGAAGCGCGCACAGGCTGGGGGCGGGGATCTTCTTTGTTTTAGTTCTCATATCAACATATGAATTGCATGTTGCATTGTCACAATTAATGGTAGACAGATAGATAGGCCCAAAGATTCATCTAATCAAACTAACTAAAAAGCAACTACTACTGAGCAACTTATACCAATTTCTCTTCATCTAACTGAATAAAGCAACATATTTGGCTTCCGCCTAAAAGTGCTACAAGACCCATCACTTCTCTTCAAAAAAAACTAACTTGGAATAAAGCAAAGCATATTTGGCTTATCAAACTTCCCTCAACTAAACACGAATAAGAATAGCAGAGCACCTGTGGTGGGTCGCAGCCTGCAACTGCACCTAGCATATGTGTGCCCTGAATAGCAGAGCACACTGCAACTGACAAGGGGCAGCACATGACATGGAAAATGGCCCCAAAGATGAACATTAAAACACAAAAGGGGGGAATAAATTGTTCAAACATACCAGAAAAGGATCTGTATTTTGGAGTTGCATGGTTCTGAAGCATGTGGTGAGCCTCGGTATGTGGTACCTGAACCAACCATATGCTTGTCACCAAAGTGTTTAGATGGTCACTTAGCAACTGAATACAATTAATATTTTATTAAAACCACATACCGGAGAGGGAACCTCTGGTTCTGATAGCTAAATCTATCAGAGGACATAGGATTATCACCACCATGAAAGAATGAAGGGTGAGGTGGTTGCTTTTTCTCATAAAGCATAGAATCAGATTCTACAGTGAAACCTGCTGAACCTCTATTCAGATTACTTGGGTTCATCCCATCCTCTGCTGGAAACCAATTCCCATGAGGTTGCACTGGAGGAGCTGGAACTTGCACTGGCGGTATTTCTGGGAGTGGAGGTGTAGGATCTCTTGTGTCTTGACCATGCTGTAATATGAGAAGCCTTCGCCTTGTGTCAGGATCCAACTCAGACTCAGGAACTTCACCTTCTTCTCTAGCTGGAGAACCTTGCAGCGGATCTGAAAAACGTGGTTGAACCACTGGCTGGCTGAATGGAGGCGACATCGTGCCAAGGGGTGGAGCTAATTGTGCAACTGAAGATGAAACAAAATTCTGAGCAGTAAACTTTTCTGGTATTCCGAAAAGCCAAAACGTCTTATAATTTGAAATGGAGGGAGTAATAAACTTTTGTAAATGGCATAAAACCCATCATATGAGCTGCTAAACCTTATAAATAGTACTATGCGTGCTACTATCATGCACAGGCATAAAAGTAGAAACATTTCGTGAGAAACTCCTACTTAAAATCACAAAACTAAGCAAAATGGTAATAAACAAGTTTGAGACTTGGATTTAAGAACTGTCTCCCTTATTTGATAGGCTTACTTCCAGAAGAGGCACTTTTTCTATATATCACAGGCAGCCAAAATATTACTACTCTCTCATATGAACCCGTCTCCCATAGAACTTGCAATTTATTTTCAGGTTTTAGTATCTTATTCCGTTACAAATACTGTTCTACAGCAAAGACTTGTCCACATAAGAAAACAAAGTTAAGGATAATCTTCAGCCATGTTCTAGGCAGAAGATGAAACCAACAAAATGTGCATTAAGTATCCGGAATAAGACTAGCAAAGATGGATGGATGGGTGTGCCTGCTGCTTAGCTTCTGCGCGGTGAGCCAGGGCGCAGAGGCGGCGAACCACGGGAGAGGCTGCTGCCGCCTTGACGCCGCAGCCCGGGGGCCGGCGTGTATCGCCCGCACGGCCGCTGCCGCGCTCCCGCCTGCCCTGCGGCCGGCGTGGTTGCTGGTCGTCTGCGCCGCCGCTCCTTGATTCGTCGGCAGTCGAGACGAGAGGTGCCGGGCGTCACACAGGAAGGAAGAGGGAGTGGCGGAGCCATCTGGAGCTGGGCTCGAAGGCCGGTTTGGAATGCTGGGCTGCCAACGGGCACATGACTTGGGCCATTATGGACCGGGCCATCAAAATTTAAGCAGAGTTCTCCACGGTGCACGCGGCTTGTGATGCTAGCAAGCTGGCCAGCAGTCCCAAGCGGACTCTAAGCCTGCAATTTACAACGGCCTTTTTTTTGCCACAGAGCAAGGTTTCGAGACAGGCCCAAGAGAACGCCACTATGCGCCTTCCTTTTATTTGTCTTTGTTCCTGTGAGTAGAATAGAAGTAACCACATTAGGGAAGAGATAACGTATGATTTCATAATTTGGTCTAGCATAGTCCATGTTTCGAACTTGCACCGAACCTCTAGTCAATTGCTAGGCCTTAGGCCGACCGATTCAGAGCTTGATCTCCCTCGTTGGCAAGGCAGCTTCGATGGTGTGACAAGTGACAAGTTCTTCAGGCCAAGTAGGGCCTCGTTCACTTTGCAAAAAAAAGTGAACCCGATGAATAGTACAACTTTCGTCTTATTTGGCAAATATTGTCCAATCGTGGACCAACTAGGCTCAAAAGATTCATCTCGTAATTTCCAACTAAACTGTGTAATTAGTTATTTTTTTTACCTATATTTAATACTCCATGCAAGCGGCTAAAAATTGATGTGATGGAGAGAGAGTGAAAAATTTTAGAATTTGGATGGCATCTAAACAAGGCGTAGGTGATGTTCAGTCAGCATTTTTTTAAACGAAATCCAGTCAGCATTATGATTCGAGTTGTTACTTGTAACATGTCACATCTACAAGGAGCTGTTTGCTTGCATCCTCCCAGGCAGACATCTGTGCTTAAAATCCAACGCCTGGGAGAGCTCTGACATGGTCATTCTCAGGCCCACGATCCAGCTCTTCTGGTTTCCTGGGGCTCATTAAAGAAGTCATTGTGAATTGTGATGCTGGTAAAAGACCAGGTATACTAACACAAATGCCAAACTCGCGCAGTGGAAGTGTTCATGGGTATTTGTGGCAGAAACAATGCCCTTCTTTCTAAATGGTTCAGAACCATCATGGGAATCCTCACTTTGCCGAAATAATACACAGCCTATTTCCAGCTAAACAAGCTCAGATTTGGCTGCTGGTGTACAAGCTCAGATTTGTGCTGGTGTTTCAGGATCCTGAAATATGGCAAGACATATGAACTAAGTAACTGAGATCAACTAGCAGAATAGAAGACGAAAATTGAGCAAGGATTCCTTTTCTTAATAACAGACAAGAGTGACATGCACAGGAAAATAAACTACATAATAGCCGTTAAGATCCATCAATAGGGATGAGCTATTTTAACATGTAAAGTGGAATCTGAATTAGTTTACTTGATCTTCTTTGAATGAATCTCAAGAGCAGAAGTTGATTCATAGCAAGAAACAGAGAAACGATTAATGCCAAAAGGAAGGGGCAACAAGGGCCGCTCTGCACCTCTTACTGGTAGGAGCAGGTTGCAGTAGCGAGCTTGGCAGGAATGGCCAGACAACAATGTACGGCACATCCTAATGTGTCCAATCATTCCATTTAAGATTCCCAGTAATCCCACAAGACTATTTGACACTAAAAGAAATAAGATAACCCATCCCTGAATTAAATCAATGTATGTTCATTCAGGAAGCAGGTACATGTTTCCCTGATTCAATTCAAATAATTTTCCATAGAAGAGACCCTGGAGCAATGAGATCAAATGAGCAAAAAATACAGCTCGATGAGCAAAGATACTGATATTTCATATGTACTATGTTGCATATTAGCAAACAATGTCTCAGTATAAGCAAATATTTTGATATTCTCAAATGTCATAGGTCAGAATGTGGGCCCATGGTGCAAGTTCCATGTGAAAAAAAACTTCAATACTTCTCAAATGATGGTTTTACTCTACAGAACCAGAGTCATCGTTGGCATATAACGGAGCTAACGTTTTAGGCAATAATTCTTCATCAGGATAGATACATGAGAACAACTGCAAGAACCATAAAGCGAATTTATCAGGACTGAAAAGAGCATATGTATTGCTTTCCGGCAGAGATATCAGTGCAAGGAGCAGATATATATGTCATAAACCTCCAAATGAAATTAGCTTGTGAGGTAAATTACCTGCCTACATTAGATATGGCATTTCTGAACATAGTGGTTCATGGGGATAGATGTTAATATCATAAGTAATGAGAAAACAACAGTAGATGCATGATATGATGTGTAAATAACTTACGCTTCAGTAAGGCATACTGCTAGATTGCTGCTTGACTGAAGAAGCTGAACAGCAGCAACCTGCTGCTCTTCTAGTGCTAAATCAAGTGTGTAAATTGGGCCAACAAAGAGAAACAGCATGCCAGCTCTAGGCACAAGCTAGCTGGACCTGTAACTCTATGCATATGCACAAGCTGCTAAAACTAATACAATATGACTTTGCTTCCTTTTTAACACAAAACAGATTGGAAAGGTTTGATAATGGTGGCCATGTGCTTATACATAAAATAAAAGTGGATTATCATATAGAATATCACATAAGAGAAGTATATGATGGAAAAGAAGGCTCAGTATAGAGTTGCTCAAAACTTTCAGCATTCAAACTTGGTAACACGCTACAACCATTTGGCTAAGTTGCAAAACAGAGCGAAATGAAAAATGTTTTCTTGTGCTTTCTTGTTCAAAAAATGGACCACAATGTAATAGTTTGAAATGACTGGGGATAACATCAAACCATTGTGCTTGAATAGCCGCTCTGTTGCACACATGGCAAAGCATTGAACAGCCCTCTGTACAAATAAGTAGCAGTAAGATTATGGCAATGGCAAAAACAATGAAGTAGTGTCATCATGCCAAAAATGCCAAATTTTGGAGAAAGGGCACATGCGTGCGCAAGAATTTCCTTCATGGTCAATGTTTCAGGATTCCCTGTTTGACTATATGCTAGATTAATTAGTTTGTCTATATGCTCTCTGCTTGCTAGTATATTAATTAGTTTAATTGAGAACTTTGACCTTTCATATAAAAATTCAAAATAGAAGGCAGCATATAAATAACTCAGATTTCAAAAACACAAACCATAGAAATGTTTCAGGATTCCCTGTTTGTCTATATGCTAGATTAATTAGTTTGTCTATATGCTCTCTGCTTGTGCTATATTAATTAGTTTAATTGAGAACTTTGACCTTCATATAAAAATTCCAAGTAGAAGACAGCATTTAAATAGAAGTATAGAAGAGCTCTTAAGGTACATTGTGGCAATAAGACAGCATGTCGAAGGTCAGGAACTTTTCTTAAGGCATGTTGGTAGGCACAGATACACAACTGTAAGTACATCAAGCAGTTCCTTTTGCACAAGCAATATGTCAAGGAACTAATAAAACTACTACAATATGATGCAATCTAAGATGCACTGTCATAAACAGACATGGTATTTAAGGTTGTTTGAAGAACACAATTATATCCCCATTGTTTGCAAATAGAGTAACCTGTTAGAAACCAATTAATTAGGATTATTTTGGTGTTATGTTTCAAAGGGGGCATTTGAGCCACAAAATTGATATGCAACAATAAGAAACACCCATGAGAGGAGGGCAACGGAGTGTAGAGATGCTGACTTATCCGGAGTACTCTTCCAGTTCCAAATTATTTCACTTTATTTGGAACGGAGTGAGTACTTTTTGAAGTAAAAGTAGACTTTCTGGCACATGGACCTGATTTTCCAATCAAAGAATGAATAGGTGTATCTTACATATAAGCATCCTCCACCAATGTCATCCGAAATTGGCTTTTAACATATCATCAGTCTGCATCATCCGTGTCAATTGGCTCGGATGTATCTGGAAAGATTAAGAAGCTACATATGGTTCGTACACCCGTACATGGTTAAGAATGATGAGGTGGCGGCCTATGTGTCTTTCTTTGACTTGGAAGGGGCTTGCTTCCATTCCCTGACGAGCTCCTTCCAGAGGTTCCAAATCCACAGGTTGCTGACCGCAATGGCGGTGCCGACAACGAGAATCCAGGAGATCCGCACCCACCACGGGATGACGTCGACGGCCTGGCCGGAAAGGTAGAAGGCGGCCATCTTGAGGAGGAAGAGCGGGCCGGCGACGCCCCTGACGAGCGTGTAGAGCGCGTAGAAGGGCGGCGAGAGTGCGCCG